TCACCATAACCTTCCTTTTTCTGAAATTCTTTTTGTCACAGTTTGACAGGCTATACTAACATGATTTTGATTGCTCACTTTTGTGTTCAAATGTTTTCTGTGATGACAGTTGTGTTGTTTTTCCAAGTGACGACTGGGAAATTCCAGATTCAACATTGCAATTTTGGTAATATACTATTCTATCTTTATTTTTTAGTTGTTAGGATATAATTTATGCATCAAAAGCATATCCTAAAGTTTTACGGATGGCGTGATAAACTTGCTGTTGTAAATCAATGATCCCCTTTGTGAGTTCCACTGACTGAAACTTCTTGCATGCATGCAAGAAGTCTAGGTGTCGAATTCTCCTCATGTCAGGCTATTCTTTTTCTAGGGAGACAGAAAAAAAGTTCCCTTCTCAATGCTGGCTGCGAAATTAAGTAGATGACGTTGATACAAGTCCTGATGTTAAAAAAAATTGCCCTCTTTATGGAGGCAAATGTTAGTTTTTTCTTTTCCCCCCTTCTAGAGGCTTCTTTATGTCATTGAGATTGTCACTATATATGATGCGCTCTTAGTCAAGAATATGCCAATACAGTAGTCAAGTACAGGGAAGCCTAAGATCGATTCTCTGGGGAAGATCGATTCTCTAAGGGAATATCATTCATGGAGCTGAAGGATGTATTCTATGGTATGTGTTATGGTGTTAGATAACTCAAAGTCAAGACAGTGTTCAACTGACATCCACGGTGGTGGTTTGCCTGCTGAGGTCTGGTTGCCACCTTTCTACCTTGCTTTTGGCCAGGCCCGCTAATTGAGCTCCACGTGGTTGTTTGCCTGGATATGATTTTAGGCAATTCACTTTCATTCATTTAGTTTCACAAGCTTAAATTTTTTCGCACTTAGTAAATTTAGGTTATCAGATGAGTCTGATTGAATCTCTTGAAGGGCTCAAGCTGAGCCTCAAGCTTTTCAAGACCATGCACAATCCAATTATACAGAAGAAAATGAAGTTTACAACTGAAGACAAATAATGTATCAATTCTTTTGCAATTGCACAATGAAAATATAGAGGAAGTAATCAAGCAGATAGTATGCCTAGGTTGTTAGATGGGTCTGATGGAGCTCTTGCAAGCTTGAGCCGAGAAACTTCTCGAGTGCACGTAAAATCCATATAAAGGTACAAAACATATTTTACAACCGAACGCGGAAATTGTATTAAACCTTGAATTGCACAATGAGAGTATAGAGGATGTAACGGAATGGAGAGCAAGTCTTGCAATCAAATAGAATGTTTGACTTGAGTTATCTGACACCCTAACACATACCATAGAATGCATCCTCATTATTAGGTTGCAAAAAAAATTTCAACTTAATAATTGAACAATATATTTGATTGTTGAATTAATTATAAGTCTCTAATGATGTTAATAAACTACCATTGATAATTGAAAATAATGACAACAATTTTAAAGTGAGGAATTGCAGGGAAAAAATGATAACGGAAATTCTATTTATTACGTACGGTACGTAGCTGGCGTGGATTGGCTGTAATGAAGTTGAAATATTAGGCTTGAGAATGATTGGAAATTTTAATTAAATTAATCTTTATCAAGATGCAGGCCTAGTCATGACTTACAACTTATTGAGTCTTTGAGGGATCGACCTCTGAGTCTACTCGAGCTTTTAAATGATCAAGCTTAAACACGAAACTGGATTTGCCTGGTCCTCAAACCTGTTCATTTATCTTGGCGAGATTATACTTTTTGTTCACGGTTTGTTCATTAAGTTAGTGAACAAGCTGAAACAAGCTTTTACCTTTTTTTAACTCGAGCTTTTACCAGTTATTACTGACTAGCAGACTTGGCTCTTAGTGGCCATCCAGTTTCCTTAGCTGCTTTTATATACCGCTGGTTTTCCTTCTGAGAATTGAAGCCATGTGCATCACTTAATGTCAGTTCTCAATTCATAAACTTATAATCACTTAATTGGTATTTGCACTGCAATGTGGTATTGGATCTCGAGATTTTTGGTATTTGCACTGCAATGTGGTATTAGATCTCGAGATTTTTACTTAGCTAATATTTCGCTTCAGGTGTAGCCTTGCAAGTTATCTTCTTGGTTCGGTTTCAGCCAAGGCAAATTGCCGTAGAGGATTGCAAGAAATGTTTTCCCCTGTATTTTCAGCATTATTAGATGTCATTTTATTGCGTACTAAGGTAATAATCTTTTTTTCTTTTTCCACTTTTATTCGGCATTTTATGACATTTTCTTTCATATAATTTATCTACCTTTTATGATCTACATTCTCTGGGATTTCTTTTTTCTATTTTGTGCTGTTGAAGACCATGAGTTGCTTCCAGTTTAATAGAAGTCTGAGCAAAAAATATTTTTGATACATGTACATCAACAATAACCATGAGTTGCATCAAAAAAGATTTTATATGATTAGTTTAAGGCACATAAACAACTGGTTGTTGTTCCATTTGTCTCTTTGTGCTTAGAGATGCATGTGATTCCCTATGCAAAATCCCATGTCTACCTCTTTTGTCTACACTTCCAAATCATGTGGAATTAGGAAGGCTGCACTGTGGTTCCAATGTTCCATAAGCTTAAACTGCATGACCATGACTGGTCTTGACGTTCCCATAGCAGCCCATCATGTCTGATTAGTAATTGAAACCAACTCATATAGGGGTAGCTAGGTTGACAGCTACTTAAGGACTGATCATGTTTTTCCATAACTGTTGCAATCCAAATAACCATTCAATTTTCATGGGAAAGGCTTATGGTGATGATGGAGAATGCAAAGCACGTCAGTGCACATGTTGACAGTCGTATAATTTCAGTGTCCAGTGTCTCGTCCTTACTATTCTTTATGCTATATGTTGATTGGGAGATCAGTTTGAAAGCTCAGTTTACATCTCAACATTACTTTCCGGCTGCATGATTAGCAATTTAGAAATCATGTTTTAGGAATGCGCATATTTGTATCCATATGAATATCTCTAGATGTTTATGAGTTTAAAGAAAATCCTTGGCATGTCTCAAAACTGTAGCTGAACATCACTTGGCATATTGTACAATTACCCGTCTATATGGGCTGCAGCTGTAGTTAAGAAAGGAGTATACCCTCGTGTCAGAATTCCCACGCGCAATTGAAAATAACCTTATGAACTGTGATCCCACCAGAATCCACTAGAAAAGTTACTGTCTATGAAGAGGAGAAATATGAAGCTGGTAGCCTGCACACATAGTTTAATATTTCTATTATTTTCCCTGGATTTCCCCCCTTATCATTCCCTGTTCTCAACTTTCTGTGCTCCTCTTTGGCAGTTTGATCCTGAAGTTGATGGTGGCACTGGAATGTTGGATATACCTGACGGGCTCATTCAATTTAGGATGAATTTGGAAGAACTTCTAGTAGATATTTGTCAGCTTATAGGGCCAGCTTCATTTGTGCAAAAGGTGCTCTTTTCAGTATGTTGATTCTCTATATTTTCAAATATTTGCAAGTGAATATAACTGAATAAATTAAGTTATTTGTTTTATATTTGTGCTATTCCGCTTATCATTGTATTTTCTAGTTGCTCTTGCACCATAAATGTTGTCAACAGAAGCATTAAGTTTTATGTACTAACAGATGCACCATTGCCGTGAAATAAAGGTTTCTTGTTTGCTTACTTTTTTGAGTTTTTCCATTGTAACATTATAATGATATCTATATATAACTCTGTTGCTTCTGACACAACTAGATCACACCTTTGTCTTCTTTGTTTTCTTTAGATTTTCTGTGGTAACTGAGTTAATGATAAATTAGCACATTTAAGTTTTAAATTTGCCTCATAACCGCATCATTTTGCATGCTGTGTGAATTTATGTAATTAGTTGCATACAGATTTTCGGTGGTGGATGGGCAACTACGGATACATTAATTCATTGGGAAGATGTGGAATCAAGAATGTTTGCTCTCAATATGGTGAGGCAAGGTTTTACAAATTGTTGTGTTTTTTAGTGTACCAGATGTAAAGTCCCTTAAGTAGCCTGTAGATCTCTTAACTGAAAATCTAACTTTGAGATGTTTTCTTATGTATTGTTTTGTATATTTGCATAAGTACTTATGGATGCTTACCTTTCACTAGAGTAACTAATTTCTAAACAAAAAATAATATTAACCTGCATCATAAATTGATAAAGGTTAGGAGAAATATTCTTGGTCCATCATAACCTAATCGATCCTTTCTTTTAGCTTCCTTTTTTGGTCGCATGAAGTTGCAAGTTAACAAAGATTTTATAGTTCATGAAATTTAACTCTACTTCATGTATATTGTTGTATATAATGTTATAGTGCAATTATATCTCAATTCTCATGTCTAAAATTTCATTGGATATAATATTGCCTTGTATAAGTAGACGGATTTTAACATTATCTTCTTATATTCAAATGAGGTGATGCACATCTCTGCAATTTGAGGTATCACAATTTTCTTGTTTTGGGAGTGGACTCCGATTTGCTAATTCCAAATATAGAAGTGGTGAATCTCAATTCAAAATGAAAGTTAAATTTCTTTGATTCGGACTCGGCAGTTTCTACCAAATCTAAAATTTTAAATTCATGGAACTACACCACTTAGTAACTAACACATCCTTGGACAAGCCGTAATTTCAAAGTCCCCTTTTGTTTGGGAAATGCCAGTATCCTAATATTTCTAATTGGTATTTGATGCTTCCTGAATGAATTTGGAGGGGTTAGAAACAGAAAAAGCTAGAACAGAGATACAAGAAAAGATGAAAACATTTTAGAACAAAGTACCTCTGCATAGAGGACAATCCGTTCCTAGATGAGACCCTTTATGGTACTGAAAATCACATTATTATCACCTGAAAGAAATGAGTATCTAAATCTTGATTCAAAGTTTCCAGGTTTAGTAGTTTATTAAATTTGAGGAGGACATCTTCCATCTTGAATAAACTTGTCAACTACTCCCAAGCGGCACTGTTTTCCTAATGGTATTGCGTCAGCACTCACTACTTCGTTTCACATCTTAATAAAAAAGGAAGTATTTTCAGTGAGAAAACAAATGTTACAGGTAAATCTCTTGTGGTCAACCTTGAACATGAAGATTTTGGAATAACTGAACATCTTGGACAAGAATCTTTTTCTCAATTTTGGACCAATAGGTGAATGTAGCAAAAGCTCCAAGCAAACTAAGTGGAATTACGTAGGTGGGAAGGGAGAGCATTGTTGGATTACTCAATGCCAAACTTCCTTTATGCTTGCTCCCTATTTGCGTCGGAGGTTGATAAGGATGGTTTTATGCGTACCAGCAAATTCAGAAGACAAAAACACAATCAGGATGAATTATGATTTATTAAATCAGTTAGCTTAACTTCTCGAGTGCATACTTTTTGATGGAGTTCACCAAGTTAATGCTTCTATAACTTTTTAGGTCTTGAGATTGTTCATTCTATTATTTTTTTTTCATACATGTAAAAATTAAACTCACAAGGATTTACTCATGGTTGTTTAGGTTGCAGAAACTATTCTGCAAGAGGGACAGCCGTTTGACTTTTCATTGATCATGCGGTTGGTGACCATTTTATCTAGTAGACCATCTGAAGAGCTCAAGGGTTTCTTATCCTTTGTAAGTTCAACTGCGCTCTAAAAAATATATAAATAAATAAATGAATAAATGAATAAAAATCTCCATTTGTTGCTCTTCAAAATTCACTTAATTTCAAATATTCTTTAAGTAAGCTAACTTTATGCTCCCTGTATAAATTCAAATGTCTAAAGTTGCCTCTGTAATTTTTTATTTTTGTAGGTATATAAATCTGTAGCTGATGTAGTTGGTTCTTATTCCAAGTGGATCTCGTCATTGCAAAATAACATTAGGCCATTACTGTAAGAGTTTAACATCGTCGTTTCAACGATTATTATGTGTCCCTCTTCTTATTGATGAATCTGTTCTTGACTCTTCCAGTCTATTCTGTGCATCTGGGATTGAAGTCTCAGTGTCCTCAAATGCTTGCTCGTCAACCTTGCGTAAACTTTGTGAAGATGCTTCCACGCTGATTCATGATCCACAAAATCTTGAAATTCTGATTTGGATTGGAGAGGTATTGTTTATCTAACTAGATACTTCTTGTAATGTGTTGAATCATTAATCAAAGCTACAACAAATTAAAATATCTGCGCGGGATTCTTTATGACACAGACTGTTTGATTTATGTGATTATGATCGTGATGACACCTCTTGTACAGCCAGTCATGATGGAATGCCAGAATTCCTGTTAAATGACTGAAAACATATTGTGTTTGACTTCTATTTAAATTCTGAAGAGCTAACTGGTTGCTTCTAATCAGTTAAAACATATAGTATGTTTGCAGTTTGCGCTAAGAAACTAAATTTCTCGTTAAATTGAATTCTCATATTGTTGCCATATAATCTGTTTCCTTATCTTGCACTCATTTTTTTCCATTTTTTGAAAAATGTTCCTAAAATGGACCTGATCTAATTCCGCTTTGAATGGTACCATGATATTGGAGTGTATACTTGATAGGCAACTGGATGGACTTCACTTTATGGTTGACATCATCCAGCAACTTCTTACACCATTATGATGTGACCTTTCTAACTGTAAGAAGCCTTATGGTACACAGCTTTGGTCCTGCCTATCAATTCAGTATCATAATGTCCTGACTCCATGCAAAAACTGCTGCAGGCTTAATATGTGTGCTCAGACAGAGAGACACATGGCGTAACATGTTAGAAATACGAGCTTGAAATCTCTTCTGTGGAGAAATTAATTCTCCTAGTGCTTGGAAGTTTTTTTTGGGTTTCCCATATTATTTTTTTCACTTGATCCTTTTACTCAATGAAATAAGTGGCACTGGCTCTGAGGTAAAACAGCAACAATAACAAAGCATGTAATTCTTCCCTTTTTTTCAACTGGTAGATTTGGACTTTTGGAGTTTTGACCGGACGTGTAAGGTTGATATTCTATATCTATGGTGAAGCGCTTAATTGTTCTCAGACATATGCATTGTGTGGTCTGATCTAGGGTGATATGCTGGTGCAACAATGATTTCATTGCCGTGAGAAAGTTCTGCTTTTATTAACAGAAGAACAATGCTTATACTAGTGATATCGGCAGTCGGCTTATTGTGCCATTAAGTTGTTAGTATGTGAAAAGTTTAACGTTATGGTATATACGATCTTCCTTTTGGGACCAAATGGCATGTGTGATAATTTCCTTAACATATAAGTTTTTGCTAGTTCAGTATATGGTTTCACATTTTGTTACTGTTTTTTTTTTATCTAACCTTAATAAATTGCTTTTTTTTTGGAAGGATTTGGAGAAGAGGAGTTTGTCATTGGAAGAAGAGGAAGAGGTTGTTAGTGCTATAACTCTTACCATTAGTTCTGTGCCCAACAAAGAGCTAAAAAAAAGTTCATTAGCAAGGCTGCTGTCCTCTAGCTATGGAGCCATTGGAAAACTTGTGCGTATATTTTTCTATCACGTGGCAGTTTCGACATTACACACATGCACGCGTGCGCACACACACATTCTCATAAAAGCAGGAGCATCAATTTAGTGCTCCTTTGTACTTACTAGGTGAAGAAATTTATTGCACTATGCAAGATTTTGTACGTTATTAAAGTTAATGGAAAAGCGTTGGTGGTTAGTAGAAAGTAAAAAAAGATAGTTTGGAGGATTTATACCAGCATATAAAATGGGGGTTGCTCTTTCTACTTCATATATTAGTATATGAATCAGACTCCTTCGCCAACTTATGCAATGATGCATCTATTGAAAAATTGAATTTCACATTGCTAGTAATAATTTGGTCTCAAATGTCAAATCTTTAAACTCCAAGTCATCCAAGTATACTTACCTCTCCATGTGTTGGATTAGAAGTTATTAGTGTATTTCCATTGCGGCCTTTTATTTATTATAATCTGCAACTTCTTCAGAACATTCTTCTGTTTATTACTATTAAGTGGCCTGTTGAAAGTCCATTCATCATGCTTGAACACATTGTTTTAACCACATAATGATTGAATACTGTTATCATTTAATGTAACTTAAATATGAGAATATCCTGATAGGATGCTCACTTTGGCTCATTTTTTAAATACGTTTTTACATGAAAACCACCTTTATTTGTGTCCAAATTGCAATTTACCACTTTATTTTTTTATTTTTTTATGTAAACCACATTAGTTTGCTTACATGTTCTCAATGTCACACTTTTGGGTATTTTGTGTTTTAAAAAAATGTGAAATTCCTATAGTACTCTTCAGTCTAACCCAAAAGGGAAAAAAAAGAAGAGGAGGAGAGGAAGGGGAGAGGGGGAGGGAAGTTGGTGGGATCGGTGGCGGGATAGGAGGGAGGGAGGTTGGCGGCTAGAGTGGAGAGAGGAAGAGTAGGAGAGGAAGAAGGTGACGAAGGTGAAAATGGAGGAGAGGAGAGGGGAAGGGAAGTTGAGGGGAAGCAGGGGTGACAAACGGGTCGATTCGGGTCGGGTCAGGTCAGGTTATAGTCGACCCGACCCATATAAATGTGATCCGATCCCACTCGTTTAATAACAGGGTCAATGCTACATGACCCATTTATTAAGCGGATTACCCGACCCGACCCGTATAACCCGAATGACCCGTTTATTAGCTTGTTGAAGGTGTTGCGGGCCATTCCCTCGAAGGTCGTGTAAAAAATGGCGCCGGCTGCGGTAGGCGAGAAACTTTGCGCGACGTTCATTCCATTTATTGCAACCGTCAAAGTAATCATCTTCGTCGTCTCCGATTGCTTCGATCAACGACCGCTGTCGATTCAGCAACGGGTTCTCAAGAAGCAGACAACCTATGATATTCGTAGACTTGCTCACGTATCCAGATGTTGTACATTTTTATAAATTTTTTACAACTTGTACAAGTTGGATAAGTTTGATTCCTATTGCTTGCTTAATCTTTCCACTGAAGATTTCTGAATTTTAGATTTGTAAGTTGCCTAGCTGTCTTATTAGTCAAACCGAGCTATATTTTGCTGCAAAATACCTATTTTCTTCGGTAAAACCCCCAACTTTATCTCATCATCTTGATGAGGAGCAGCAGGCGGCAGCGGATCCATCAACCTCGATCTCGTCTTGATACGAAGAAGGCCTGAAGCTTTTTGAAACAAGGAGTTCGAAGTGCAGCGCAGGACCTCACCATTGCCTTCCTCTTTCGGGTTGGTGTTGGGTTATACGGGTGGTACCCGAACTGACCTATTTAATAAATGAGTAAATTTGGGTTGACCTGTTTATGACCCGACTCATATAATTCGACCCATACTTATTATAAACGGGTCAGATCGGTTGATGAGTCGGGTCATAAATTGTCACCCCTTAGGGAAGTTTGAGTATGGAGAAATCATAGAAATGGAGGAGGTGATGGAGGAAGTGGAGAAGGACAGAGAGGGGAAGAGGAGAGGAAAAGGAGGATGTGGAGGGGGTCATTGGTTGAGAGGGAGGAGAGGAGAAAAGAAATTAGGGTTTGGAGAAACCCTAGAGATGAAGGAGATGGTGGAGGAGATGGAGGAAGAGGAGATGGAAGGAGAGAGAGGAAGGAAGAAGATGGAGAGAGTTAAAGTGGGAATTTTTGAAAATTTTTGGGCTGAATAATGGTAAAGGTGTGACATTGAGAACATGAAAGCAAACTAAGGTGGTTTACATAAAAAATAAAATAAAATAAAGGTCGTAGGTTACAATTTGACATAAGTTAAAGGTGGTTTTCATGTAAAAACCCTTTTGAATATTTAGTTATTTTCTTTTAATTTTCATATTGAACTATGTGGAGAAATCCATTAAACAGTAAATAAAAACTGAACATATGCTGTTGTCCTATATCCCTCTAGGCTTTATGGATCTTCTACTGTCAATTCTTCTCCATGCCTATGTTCTTTTGTTATCCTTGTCGTTGTATAAAAGTATGTTTCCTCTTTCTGCATTCGTAAAATATTCATCCCATTCATTTTCCAGATAGATGCAGACAGTGAGCACTCTTTGAAGAAAAATCCTGCTGCCTATACCCAGGCCTTGGGCTCAGCTGTAAGGGGTTTATACAGGTTGGTTACACATTTCACAGTGCTTACAAACATTTCTTCTGTTTACATTATGGCACTTGTAATGGATTTTTCATGCAATATAAGATTCAGATTTATTTGTATCAGATGTGTGATAATACTATGGCCCATGTTATTAAGGAATTTTCTTCTGGCAATCCTTTTTTCCTGGTAAAATATTAACTTATTGGGTTCTGTCTTTTTTTCTGGATGAACTCGACTGAATTGCGAGTTCATAAGTTATAACTGCTGTTGAAATATATGAAGTATTTTAACACTGATAATTGCCAGGTCAAAGTTGTTTATGTGGATCTTCAATTTTGGATTATTAATATATCTTAAAAATATACATTTCTTGTTTCCATGTTCATATTCTGGCCATGAATATATCTAGTATGTTGGGTTCTAAAGGTAGTATCATGCTCATTTGTCAATTGTCATTGCTCAAGAAGTCCGTTTAAATTTTAATTTAGGGTTTTCTTGTTGAAGTTTGGGTTTGGCAGTTTTCTGATTTGACTTAAACCAGTTTGGTTTTTGTTCATAGCATGAATAAAAAAGGACCTCTTAACCTGAGTATTTGGATCAGTTTTATACCCAAATTGCAGCCTTAAAGGAGAGATGCCTATGGAGTGAGGTAAAAGGTTCTCAGTAAGGTATAATTATTAAGGTATATAAAATAATTACCAAGGACCTTTTGAGTTCATTCCAAGTTCCTAACCCAAGCTACTGTTTTCAACAGTATGTTTTCACTTTGAAGCTTACAGGTGAGATGGTTAGCTTTTTTTTTTTTTTTTTTTTTTTTTTTTTTTTTTTTTTTTTTTTTGAGGTTTGAAGATTAAGCTCATTTGAGCCAGCAAGCCAAAACCTTCATACTCCCAAATAATGCTAACGAAGCCTATGTGAGTTTAGATAAATGGAGAAGATAATAAAAGCATACGTTGGAGTTGGATTAACCTTTGAAGCATAATGGTAGCCAACAAGGCAAATGGAAATACATTTTTGTGAGCATAATGACTCCCAGCCAGCTTGAAATATGAAAAGAGATCTGGGCAGTGTGTCAGCCCTCCTCCCTTCTCTTAGGGGCTGTTTGGTTGTATGTTTTTACCATGTAAAAGGATGGAAAGTGTAAAAAAGTGGGTCCCAATGTCAGCTTTCATCACTTTCAATTGTTTGTTTGTAGTTGTGAAAATAGGGTAAAGTGATTTCATATGCTGATGTGGCTTGTAAAGTGATTTCATAAAAAAAAGACATGATTTTAGGAGAAAGCTGACATTGAAGTCAGGAAAAATAATAAAAAATAATTCCAACCAATATGATTATTTGAGTAGGGACCACTTTTTACACTTTCCAAACAAACAATTAAAGTTACATTTACAAACCAAACAAGCAATTTATGATTCCAATGGAATCAAAAACAAACAAAGAAAAGTATAAAAGTAAAATTGATGAGGTGGACAACAACTTTCCAAGTTGTGTCATACACAACTTTACCGACAACAACCAAACAGCCCCTTATTTTCTCCTACTTCTACAATTTATTGTCTTTATGCAATGTTTCTTAATTTTTGAGGACATGGCTTAGTATATAGTTATATTTTTTGTACCAGTTAGGTGGTATGACTACTTGATGAAGACAGCGTCTTCTTGCCAAACTTGAAAGCTTGCTTTATTATCATTAGCACGGATTATCTTCTTTTAAACCTGCTGGAAGATTTATGCATCATTCATGTCTTTGCATATCATAATTTTTTAGTCAACAATATCAGTCTGTATCTAAGCTTTTGAATATTCGAGTATTTGTTCTGTCTCGGCTGAAAGAGCTTTTGACTTTAGGATGGGAGCCGTGTTTAGTCATCTAGCACCTGCGACAACTGATCAGATTGAGGATGACACGATTCTGGTTCTCCTGGGAGTGTTTTGGCCACTTTTGGAGAAACTTTTCAGTTCAGCACATATGGAAAATGGTAGTTTATCTGCAGCTGCATGCCGATCTCTTTCTCAAGCTGTCCATTCTTCAGGTGTTTCTCTGACTTAATTTTACTCTTGGTTTTAAGCATTGGTCAGAAATGTTTAAGAGCCTTTAGTTCATTGATTGAATTTCACACATTACAGGCCAACAGTTTTTGATGCTGTTGCCAAAAGCACTGGACTGTTTGTCTGCAAACTTTTTGCTATATCAGAACCATGAATGCTATGTAAGAACAGGTACTATTCTTAATTTATTGCTATGTAAGAACAGGTACTATTCTTAATTTATTGCAATGCCTATTATACTTGTTATTATCAAATCAATCAGTTGGAACCTGCAGAATAAACCTGCAAAATGACGGATTCTTATTTTTATGTTCTGAATTAAATTGAATGAGACTTGATCTCTGTGATGTGAAAATAGAGAAAATTGATCTTCAACAATTCAAAGTATGATAAATGGTGTTGCTAAGTTTCTACGTGCAATTATAGAAGGCTATCCTTGAGATTCTTTGCATGTGGATGCCTGTTGTAGATGTCATGCTTGTTTTCTCATCTGATTCTTGTGTAACATTATATACTATCTTCTTATCATTTGATAACTTTACAAAAGTACTATCTTTATGCTGGACATATCTTACTTTAATTTTCTTCAGCTTTAGAATAAGTTCTCCGTTGGACACATTGCGGCCTGCCAGTTTATGTGATGATGGATGCCTATCCTCTAACCGCAATGTATGCCTAATTTGATGACCTTATTTGTGTTTGCCCAAACATAGTTCCCTTTCTTTGCGACTGAAGTGAGTTTCTTATCCTCTTGACAAGTCTCAGACTCTCAGAAGAATTATACATTCTACCCAAGCAATAATGATTGTGTTTGGCTGCTTACTAAATAGAAATGATTTCATTGATTTCCTCCTGAGACTCATGCGGTTTCTAATTAGCCATCTATGCCAATATTCTGTTGGTCCTATTAGTTTGTTTTTTAACCTTCAGACCTGTTCATTTTTCACCACTTCTCTGAACCTCACGTAAAGCGTTCTACTATCATCAGTTTTCTGCCAATTGCGAGTTTTATATTGGATATACAAGAGAGATCATGTCCGGTAAATCATTACTCTCAACCTAATTCTTGTTCTTGTTTAAGATGTTTATTTGTTATTTTGGCTACAGCTTTGCAGAAATTCTTTCTATTTCCTTTTTGTTTGTGACCTGGTAATGAGTTTTCTAGTTTTAGCTTTTTATTGATATCGTTGTTGTTTACGTTCACTCACTATGCACTCTGATCAATTGTCTGCTTCATTTTCTCCCTACCGTTCCCATTATTTTCAATATTAATTTGCATTGAGCTGAGCATGTCATTCCTTAAGCTCCTTTTACCTTGTCTAAAGTTTCGTAAGTTGCTCACAGTGTTGCTTGGTCTCTAACCTAAGACACACGCACAGACACAAAAAATAATAAAAATAAAAATAAAAAACTTGTTTAGAGCTTGGGAGCATCAAAACTAAAAACGACTCTTCATCTTATAGGGTAAACTGCAGTAAGGCACTTCCCCTGCTTGTGATGGTGATCTTCTTGCTAACTCAGTGCCAGTTGCCATAACACATGCATGTTCTCCTTGCGTGCTGCCTTCTGGCTCTCTTTAGGTCTTCAAGGGTCACCACAGTTTCTTATGATATCTTAAATGGTTTGTCACTGAAGTAGGGAACCTTATTCATACCTTTCTCATGGTCAACAAAAGTATTACCAATTTGGATTACTTTATTTTAACTCTTTGCCCTTCTATAATAAACCGTAAGTCATTCTAGATGTTTGCAGGTAACTGAATGCTCATAAAAATGCACTTGCGTTCACTTCCCGCTTGAAGACCTTTTTCATATCTTTGTGGCATTTTGCTGATTGCGTAGATATTAGTAGACCCCTAAGTTGCTTTGTTATGATTACAGAGTACATATAGAACATGATATGGCACTTTCATATAGTACAATCTGAAATCCTAGGATGCTTGTAAATTGTGGATATTACAGCAGTATTTTTTTGTGTGAATTAGCATTATTTACCTGGGAATAAATTGTGAGGTTGTAAGGTTAAATAAATACAATAACATATAAAATAATTTCAAGCTACTAGAGATAGCATAAGTCTTAGTTAAGAAATTGAACAAATTATATAAATGCTTCTATAGATATAATGGAATTGCATTAGAACTTTGACCTATAGTCTCGAATGCATTTCTTATGTTTCTTTTTAAATGTCCAGTATGCCTCGTAAAAGTTTAGGTATATGAGTATCCATGAAGTATCTGGGTATCCAAGTATCAGACACGAACAGGTATGAGTATGCAACCAACATTAAAAATCTGTGTAACATAGGTTAACCCAAAGAATGCATGATTATTACATGGTGCAAGATGATAAATGCTACCGTTTATTTTTTTCTCTTAATTCAAATAAATTTATGGCACCACCTAACATTTACTATAGATATATGTTTGCTCATATTACCACATTGAACAATTGCTTTGTTGTTTACTTTATTCCTCTTGCTTTGTAATTAGGATTATATAGCTTATGCAAATACCACTGTAAAATTGACCAACCTTCAGATCTATTTCTCAGCATGTACTTCTAACTTTCATATTTACCTGTTACTCCCTATTATTGCATTGATGCTGTAAAATTTAGTTCTATTTATGATTTCTTGGTATATCTTTTCATTTTTGGAAACTTTATCAGCTGCTGTGATGCTTGAAGAATTTGGCCACAGAGAAGAGTATGGACCTTTATGCATTAGTGTATTTGAGAGATTTTCCTCTGCAGCATCAGTGACAGCTCTTAATTCTTCTTACATTTGTGATCAAGAACCTGATCTGGTGGAAGCATACACTAATTTTACATCTGCATTTGTTCGCTTCTGCCCTAAGGTCTTAGCTCAGTTGTTTCCAGCTATGTTCAACAATATTTAGTTGAAGTATTTGATGATGTACTATTGCACAGAAGGAGCTGATATCTTTATGTGTGCATTTTTCAGAAGGTTATTGCTGCATCTGGTTCACTGCTTGAGTTATCCTTTCAAAAGGCAGCTATATGCTGCACTGCCATGCATCGGGGAGCAGCATTGGCAGCTATGTCATATCTTTCATGTAAGTATAAGATTACCACCTCTTTCTTTCGTTCTTTATCATGTATTTACTCTATTTTCATATAGGAACCTTGTTTAGTGGAAATTAAACTTGTCAGTCTGGCTTTTTTCTGCACAGAATGCTAGGTTGTGTTTCTGAATATATTATATGCATCTCAATATATCGCATTTTATGATGTCTGCTGTGTCTTTGTATTTATTTTTCCCTGCCACATGATGTGCTGGTTACAGTGTTTCTTCACTCCTAATGTCAGTAAAATAAAAGGCTCACAATTTTATTTTGGTCTTCTCATGACTATTAAAGCTTTTCCATTTTGAAATCCCCATTGTAGGTTTGTATGTCTTGCAGGTTTCTTAGATGTTAGCCTCACCTCCTTATTGGAATCTTCGGCTTTTGTACATGAAGGATCATTAAGTTCAGTGGCAATTCAAATTTTATCTCATAGCGGGGAAGGACTTGTATCCAATGTGGTATATGCTCTAGTTGGTGTCTCTGCAATGTCAAGGGTAATTATATGCCTCCTTTTCTTGAAGTATGAATCTTCTTTTGACTTAACTAATTTATTCTGCAATGTCAAGGTGATTGTTGATATTGCCCTTGCAGATTATTTAGAGAGACCTTTTGACTAAAATTACTCTATATGACGGTTACATCTTTTTAAGTATTGCTTTGTTCTACAATGCCTCAGAAAAATGTTCCTTATAATCTTCTACGAGCATATTTACAAGCCCTATTTGATTTCCTAGCATTGTTAACTTATCTGAGAAAGAATATTCTCAAAATGAGATCATCTGAAAATTCGCACAATTTCTCTTAAAGTTGCTAGCTTCAATCTGCTAATATATAAGCGAATTTTTCAATAGGTCCATAAAACTGCAACAATCTTACAGCAGTTAGCGGCAATTTGCAGTCTTTCTGAGAGAACCGCCTGGAAGGCAGTTCTTTGTTGGGATTCTTTTCATGGATGGTTACAATCAACGGTCGGTGCATCTCTCCCTCTTTCCTGTATTTCATGCACATACTTGTGCACAAATGCTCATGCTTGCTTTAACTCTCGATCCATCTTAATAGTGTGTGTATGCTATATGATAAGATAGATGTAATATTCTCCATAGCTCTTGGCTAAAAAGTCATTATGCATCTGGTAGCCCTTCTTTCTGGGCTATGAAGATTGCATTTGCGATGATCATTCTTCTATTTATAGGCGTAATAACCATCAATATGCAATCAGTACAAAGATGGTAATTAGCTATAAGGCGAAGTGCCTGTGTCAGATTTATTCTGAAGAAATTTGTGAGATAAAAAAATTTTGTTGGAGGGAGGATATACATACATACATATACATGCATGCATGCATGTTGCACTTTGTAATGTATGTATGTATGAAAAAAAAAATTCCTTTATAGTGGAATGCCATATTACTTTCTTATGATAATTTTGATATGAGATTATCCTTAATCTCTCATGTTTCACATGTGGTACTTTATATACCCTTTTTTTTCACTTCATATGGAGTACTAGGTAGCATACGTTTCAGTTTGTCTCCTTTTTTCCTTTTGTATGAGATAGATAATTGATATCTAAGATTTTATCAGGTCCGAACTTTGCCTTCAGAGTATCTAAAGCAAGGAGAAGCAGAAACTATAGTTCCTACATGGATTAAGGCTCTTGCCCATGCAGGAACAGATTATCTCGAGAGCAAGACCAGTGATTTCAGTAGAAGTGATCATGGTCATATGCAAGGGAAAGGGGGAAGAATTTTGAAGCGCATTATAAGAGATTTTGCTGATAACCACCGCAATATTCCCAACCCTACATAACTCCCCCACCGATGCAATCGTAGAGACCAGTTGCTCATTTTTCTGATGGAAATTGTACATTGGAGGCTATTAGAAAGCTCGGTTTTGAAACCAGCAGCTTGGGTTCACTGGTCTTTAACAGTTGATTCAACTTCCAATTTTTGCTCAATTTTGAACTGTACAGTGGCATTTCACTTCTATTGGAATTTGAACATCAGTGAGAAGTCATTCAGTGCTTGTACATAATCTTTTTGGATTATCCTGTAAAGCTTAGTTGATGATGACGACAACTGCAATGCCAACAAGAGCCAGCTTCCGGTGTATCTGACAGGCTACTGGAGCTGTAGGGCTCATGACAATGAGGGGCTCAACAAGGCCTACGTGTATTTGCAAATGAAAATATTCATAAATTTTGGAAATTTCCATTAATTTAGAATTAGTCAATTAATTCCAGTGTTGCCCTGCTGTTCAAAGTTTCGTGTTCCGTGTATCGGTTTACCCCCACTTTTTCTTTGCTCTGAGCGTGTTGTGTAAAGGGTCTAATACTTTCACATGGTGTGATTACTTCACTGTGTTTGATACGGAAGAGCTTTTTAGGGGTTGTTTGGTTGGTTTCCTAAAAATCAAGAATAGGAAATTGGGTTATGGAAATCTCAAAAACATCAATTTTCTTCATTTCCATCCTTAAAATTCGCTACACCATCTAATAAAATATTATTTTTATTTAGCAACGAATCCATTTTATCTAATAAAATATTTTCATTCAACAACTCATCTAATATTATCTCGTAAAAATAAACCAAACATAAAAAATGAGTCACATCATCAAACTCATCTCATCTTATATTTAAAAATCACCCACATCATCCAGTAATATGGTGATAACTCATCTCATCTCATTAACATTTCATTTCCACCAATTTCCTCAAAAAAAAATTAATTTTCTTAAGTGTGGGTCACATCATCCAATAATATACAAACAACTCATCTCATTTATTTTCTTATTTTTAAGAATGAACCAAACACAAGAAAGAAACTATTATAGGAAATAGGTTTCTTATAATATGAACCAAACACAAGAAAGAAACTATTATAGGAAATAGGTTTCTTATAATACATTTCCTTATTTTTTTAACCAACCAAACAATCTTAAGAAACTATTATAGGAAATAGGTTTCTTATAATACATTTCCTTATTTTTTTAACCAACCAAACAATCTTAAACAAGTTTTCTTAAAAAATCACTCACATCATCCAATAATATGGTGACAACCCATCTCATCTCATCTCCTATTCTTTGATTTCCTTTTTTTTTAGCCAACCAAACAACCATAATACAAGATTTCATATTCTTTGATTTCCCACTTTTTTAGGCAAACAAACAGCCCCTTAAGTCATGGTTTGCTGAGCTCAAGCTGCATCTTGCGTGACGATTATAAGCTATCCGCATAAGTTCATGAATACGCTTCTCGTTGAAAATGCAACAGTAGTTACAGCAAATTATTTAAGAAGAAAACACTGTCGTCAATTCTAAAAGCACAAAACTTTGACAACGGATTCGCAGCGTTAAAAAGAAATCTCCAAGCTCTCTGCTTTCGGAGCCTCTCAAGAAAAGAGACAGAAATAAGGTAATTAAAAAAAAAGAAAAAGAGCATTTCCCAAGAGAGCGTCGCCTCATGTTAATTAAAGAGTAGTGTCAATAACTACAAGAAAAATTGAAAATGATATAAGACTAGCTATTGAAACTTAATAAACAGAACTTGAAGACGCAACTGATGAAGAGAGACTTATGAGAGCTTTCGGTGCAAAATTTGCACGCGTTACACTTTTTTTAGATTCCCCCTACAAAAAAAAAAAAAAACCCCTGTAGCAAGGGCCTAAATTTCAGCGGATAAAAAGAACAAGTCCATACCAAAGCTCAGATGTTTTAGTGGCTTTAGTTTCATCGTAAGGTAAAGGCTTAAGCCTATCAAGACATTATTTTGGCCGAAACCATCGCATAATACTCTTGTAACAAACAAATTAAGGCAGTAAAATCTCCCCGGCTTAAAATCTGCCATAGCCAAGATAGCCTCTCAAACAGAACAATAGATAAATTGCTGAGTGCTTTCAAGCCTTCATAGGTTCTCCAGCTTTGACAAGCTCCCCTAGTTTCTTGTTGATTTCAGCTTCAGGGAGACCATCCAAACGAACACATCTTTCCACTCCCATGTCTGCATCAGATAACAAATGATCAAAAGGTCACAGAGGGAGTTAAGAAGTCTAATGCTTCCATTTAAGCAATTATTAAAAATAAATAAAATTAAGGTAAGGTATACATTTCTAGCACGAACAAGAAAATACACGGGAACTGTTTGAGGTGACCATGGAATGGTTGTTTATACTGGCATTAAGAAGCGTATATTTGGATTGTCCAACCTTCAGTACTGCAATACTTTTAATAACAATTTAAAGGGTACTAGTTATGCACATAAAACATAAAGATATATTGCTTCGGTCTTGTGCAACGTTGAGCAAAAACCACATGGAATTGCCCACATGTAAGTTGTCACAATGCCTTCGACCATTTGATGTTAATTAAATTTTATTCCTCCAGAGACAACTTACAAGATGAGATTGAAATCAAGAGCAGTATATTCAAAGTAAAACAGAATACCTACTCAGTTTTTTGAAGCAAGCACTGGCCAAGCAGCTGAGAAAATAAAAAAAATGAAAATAGAAGAAAGCAAGCAATCCTTATTTTCAGACATTTTATAAACCAGTTTACCCTAGCATGTTCACAGAAACCATACAAGTCTCTGCTCTAAAATTCCAAAAAAAACAAGTATTTGATAATAAAATTGGTTGAACCCCACACACTTCTGACTATTGCCCAACCACATTTGGAAATGACATAGAATGGATTTTGATAATTCAATGTAGTCAAAGATCAGGTAGCATTTCAAATTCTGCTAGTAAATTTAAACATCTACATGTATAAAGTGTGAAAGTCGAATAAATTACCAAAGAAAATGTGTAGTGGAACTAAAGTATTAACAAAGAAATATTTCTCTCAATTGATCTTGCACAACACGTGATAAATTGTAAAATACCTGTTTCATCAACTTCCAACTGTTCTATTATATATGTGAGAAAACGTAAACTATTGATGATGCGATATTCATTTTTAGTGAATGAAAACAATATTATCAATGTGACTTCTTCCTCTGTTGGAAACCAAAGTAACCTTTCATACTATAAAGCTAAGAAGCACCGACTCGTGAAAAACCCCCCCGTCCCCGTGTCCGACGCTTGTCGGGGACGGACGCGCGTTCGACACGCGTTCGACACGCGTCGGACACGGCGTCAACGGCGTCGACACGGTCAGCGCTAGTCGACACGGCGAAGTTGAGGGCGACACGGCGAAGTTAAGGGCGACACGGCGAAACCAGATTTTGAAACCCAAACCCGAAACCCAAACCCGAAACCCAATTTCAAACAGAAACTCAAACCCTAACCCTAGTCGTGAGAAAACTTACCCGATTGAAGTCGAAAGGGCTCTTGCGAAGTGAAGAGGCGCCGCCAGCTCTCAGTCTCCTCCTCGTCGTCGTCGTCGTCAGCTTCTTCTTCGTCGTCGTCGTCTTCAGCTCCAAGGTCAGTCCCTCTCTCTCTCTCCCCCCCCTCTCTCTCTCTCTCTCGGACTCCGCTCTCGCTCTCGCTCATCCCTTTCCCTCTGGTTCTCTCTTTCTCTCTCTTTCTTATCTCTTTCTCTCCCTCATTTATCTCTTTCACACTCTCACCACAAAAAAACCCACAAACTTTCCCCTTTCAAAAAAAAAAACCCCAGGAACGCCTCATTCAACCCACCATCCACTGTTCTCCCTCTCTCTCTCGAAAAAAAATCGCACACGAGATTCAAAACGCCCCTGCCCTCCACTACGTTTATTTTTAATTTTATAATAGTTTCAAAAGACCTCTGCCCCCCACTACGTTTATTTTTAATTTTATAAGAGTTTCTTACTGTTTACTGTTTTGTCATTTTTCCCACTGTTGGATGCCTCACTGTTTGGGCTGTTTAGTTTGGTATTCTCATAGTTAACTGCTGATGGTTGGTTTAAACCTTTTTTTTCTGTTCTGCTGCAATTGGGTAATTAGGATGATGATCTCTGTTTATTTGCTATTTTGATGCTTTATTACCGTATTAACTGTTATTAATTATTCTTTTTTATACTGTTTTGCTGCTGCTGTATGATTTTCTGACGAGCCCACGATGGAGGCCATTGTGTTTGATGAGGATGAAAGAGTTGAATCCATAGAATAATCTTTTTGATGTTTCAACTTGAAAACTTTATTTTAAGATATGCTTTTGAGTGTAATTTTTATATTTTTGCAATGTTAGTAACTTAGTATTTTGTAGTCATTGAACTAGTTGCAAATTGAACTTTATTCTCTTGTATTTTTATATGCTCAAGATGAAAGTAGTGAAAATTAAAAAATCTAGCCGTGTCGCCGTATCCTATTTTTTGGGGTTTTGCCGTATCCGTGTCCGTGTCCGTGTCGTGTCCGTGTCGCCGTGTCCGTGTCCGTGCTTCATAGCTATAAAGCTTAAACACTTACTTGGAACCCTTTTCATTTCTTAATTTTCAGTCACTAGAATAAGCAGATTATAGACAATATAACACAATTGACATGTAGCATTACAGTTAGGACAGTCAAATTTAAATCATATACTGATCCTCCAAAAGAAAATTGCAAAACTAAATTGAAATAACACATTCAACGATGTGTGGGCAATTAGCAGTTTGTACTGCTTGCATGCACCCCCGACTATGTAATTGGATTCACTTCCTCACAGTTCACAGGTAATTCATTATGCTAATTCCAAACTGTCATCAAACTTCAAATATATTATGACACGTGTGTTATTCTCATTGCTTCATACATGATTTTATATAGAGAGGGGTATATGAGTTTGTTCCCTTTGTGTGTCTAAGCATGCATATACCAATGGAATGACCAGTCAATTTTCATTATTCCCAAGTATGACCCGCATGGAACTGAATATGCCCCTTCCAGTCCATTTTCATATTGGCTAGTGGGCCCACATGGAAATGAATTGCGAAGATTCTCCACGAGGCCGTTGAGATCCATGTGATGGAGAGAAAGGTTTGTGCTCGTGAGTAGCGTATTGACTTGAATAGTGCTGACTTAATTTTTCTCTCGCTTTCATTGGGTTGTGTGGTGAAGAAAAAGAAAGTGACAATGTTGAAACTTTTGATCTTTCGGATTCTCTTTCATTTACTGTTTAATTTACCTTCCAACCAAATAATATAAATTGATTGTCTCACGCATTTTCTTTATTTCAGTTTCGCTCAAACCAAATAAAGCTTAGTGTTTTGAGTGGTCTCGCCAAAGAAAAACCTCATATACCATATATTTCAGTAGCATATCACCGTATTCTAATAAGTGAAGGTTGGAAGTAGTGCAAATAAAGGAAGAAACAAGAAATTGTCTTGCCTTCAAGATGGCCCTCCAGCAGCAATGTCAGCTATACATAGTGTTGTCTCCTCTTTCTCCATGTTTTTCAATGTTTGTTCTTGTTATATTTTTCTTCATTTTTTCGAAGTTTCACCCTATAGTTTGTTCATCGCATTATCTAATTTCTTCCTCCTTTCCATTTCTTGATCTCCCTCTCAACTCTTATAATGGATAAGTATGAGACTAACACTAATTACAAAGATGCAAACTTACATGTAAGCTCATGCAAGAACTTCTGCGCATCAAAATAGCTCCTCTCAGGCAGTCACTTCTCATAATACAGTTGCTTTTACTTCACTGGTTACATCATTCTCTTAGCTAGAAGGGAAATGGTGGGAAGAGACACTTCTCTCCTAGGTGTGGTTTTTAATTTCTTGGTCACATGCCCACAGCTGAAGGGGTAAGGGTTATACTTCTTTTGTTGGGAAGGTCTCTTTGTCTACTTAGCACATGCAAATCCCATGGCTGGTACATGCTCTTTAACTAGGAAAAACTATTTTAGCACTGCTTGTTCTTCAACAAGACATTTTTAACCTAAAACTTTTAAGGAGATAGCCCTCTAGCCTTGGTGACGAAGAAAGAATTTTTATTTGGAATATTATCCAAATTTTATTCAAATTTCCCTGCCCACAACCGATTTTTATTAATATTTGTACAAAACGTGGCGAGGCCGATTGAAAGTCTAATTTTTTTTTGTAATCCCAAATAATTGTCTAAATTTCCATCGGCAATCAAGACCCGTTCTTTTGTCAGAAACAAGGACACTGAAGAAGTTCTTCATGCTACAACCTTAAAAAAAATTCTAACCTTAATCCTTCTGCCATCTTAAACTACAACAATCAAAACATTTAAAGCCGAGGTTATACACAATCATTTCATTTAGAAATTAAAAGCATGTAGCACTTCAATCCCAATGAAAACGTACCGTATCTCGCCCACAGCTGAGGTTGAGTTCCGCTGCACTCGCGGATCAGGATAGGGAGCTTAGGGTTCAGCGTCTTCAGATCCTTGTAGTTCTTGCGCACAAATTCTCTGCCGAAAACAAGAATCAACCTTAACGAATTGTTAGATTTAAAAAAAAAACCCTAAAATTACTCCCAAATGAATGAAAATATCAAAAAGTACCGAGTTTGGGCGCTTGCAGGTGAAGTCTGACAGAAGAGGAACCGGAGCTCCTTTAGATTCTTTGATAGCTGCGATCTCCACGCCATTTCTCTCTCTCTCTCTCAATCTGGAGGGCTGAGGACAAGTTAGTCATTAAAGTAAATGATAGGGGAGACGAGCATCAGCGGCAAGTGTTTAGCGGGTCGGGTTTGTACCCGAGACCGTCCGGACCCAGTTTGAAATTAGGCCTTTCATAGGGTTCAACCGGCTAATTTTCCACCACTTTTACACTTAGGGCCTGTTTCTACCTCGGCGCTGGGTTGAACTCAGGCCCCGGCCGGGTCAGTGTAGGCCGAGCTGGTGATTGTGATCCCGGGTATGGCCCTCGACTTAGCCCGGCCCACGACCCGTACAGTTCCGAGCTGGGTGGGACCCAGCCCACAACGGTTTGGGTTACGGGGCCGGCCTATGAGTTTGTAACTTCTTTTGTTTTAGTTACTGTTATTTGGTTATATTTCTTGTATTAATATTTGTTTAATTGTATTTAGTTTACTTCTTAATTATTTTAGACTCTTATATTGTGAATCTGTGATAAAGATGTTCGTGGGTGTATCAATTGTTAAGGTCTAATGTTTCAAATATAGACTTGAGTTATGAGATCTTTCATGGTTTATTCCTTCTCTCTAAAGTTTTGTTTATTTTCTTTTTTTTTTTTCATTATGTGACATTAGAGCAATGAATAGATTATTGGATGTAATGTAATATTATGAATGGGATATAATGTAAAATGTGGAGCTATGATAACTCTTTGTCCGCGGGCTTGACCGAGCCGTGACCGGGATGAGCCGCATGTGGGCGGGGCCAAACACTTAGCTCCCTCGAGCCTAGCCTCCGACTCGGCCCGTCCGGAGCCCGAGTTAGGTCAAGCTTGATATATATGGATTGTGCCAGATTACGACCCACAACGGGTTAGGTTGGGTCAGCCCATGAGCTAACTCGGCCTATGTCCATCCTTATTTTCTGGGAAATAAACACCACTAGCACATAGGTGGAACACATTTTTCTTATTTTAAGCCCATTTACTAGCAATTTGTAATAAAACGTGTCTTCCCACTTGGTGTGTCCTTTTACACTACTGTTATTCCTATGACATGAGTCCCACGTTATACCCTCTTCTCTTTGTCTTTTGTGCAATCAAACAAAAAGTGGGAATAGTGTTATAGGAAATGATTTCCTATAACACTATTTTTCCACTTATTTACCAACCATACAGACCCTTAAATACTTATTTACCAGCCATACAACCCTTAAATACTATAAGTTGTAAAAAGTAATGGATAATTACTATATGTTGTTTATCATTAGGATATTGTAAATGTAGTTTAAAAAACATGTTATAATAAAAATACCCCTCCATAGAGATGAATATAAAATTTAAGAAAAAGATGAAGAGTAAGTATAATGATAAATATCTATCTACCCTTTAAAAGAGGGAGTACTAGAAAAACTTTCTGTACCCTAAATTACCCTTTACCTATTGTAAATATTGTAAATATAACAAAGTTATACCTTTTTAATCGTTACACAAAATCAGAAATCAGCAGCACTAAACCCTTCGTTCATTTCTTTCTCCGTTCCGTCGGTTACGCATTCTCAATCTTGCTCTTCTTCTACGTCCCTCCCTCTCTCCTCAAACCTCCAAGAATTCCCCTCCCTCTTCGCCAGCCACAACACTCCCCTCCTCTCCTCCCCAAACCCTAGCAAACCCTACGTCAAAAACCCCAGACCCCCTCATTCTCCTCCCTGTCCCTCTCCCCTCGACGAAACCCTAACCCCAGCAAATCCCTCCTGAAATTCCTCTACCTCCTCGACCGATCCCTCATAGGCACCGCCGCCGCCGGCATCGTCGGCGCCTTCACCTACGTCTGCCTCCTCGCCATCAACACCATCAAAACCATGCCCCTCGACGCCGCCGTTAAGACCTTCAGATCCGATGGGATTCTAGGGTTTTACCATGGCATTTTGACGGTGCTCGTCGGGTCGTCGACGAGCTCGGCGATCTACTTCACGACTTGCGAGTTTGGGTAGGCGATGTGGGGGAAGTTTCTGGGTTACCCTCTGATTTTGATTCCGTCGACTGCAGGGGCGATGGGGAATGTTGTGTCATCGGCGATTATGGTGCCAAAGGAGTTGATTACGCAGAGGATGCAAGCTGGGGTTGCTGGGCGTTCTTGGGAGGTAATGGTGGATGCATTTGTTGAGCTCGTGATTGAATTTTTGATTTAGTTTAATTTTTTTGGTGTTTCTTGGTGTTGGGGGATTTTGTAAGACTGCTCTTTTTTAGAGAACTAGGACAACTCATCTCTACTACCCCCAATGAAATCCAAACATCCCCTGTGCTTCTGCACGCTCATGCAAGCTGGTTATGCACTGATTGAAAACGACAATCCCAGCATAACCATTCAGTGGGTTACACTTATGCTCCGGGAAAGCCTTCCCACTTTCTTAATTCATCAATTGCCAAGATGAGTATTATTGTCATCATCATCACTGCATCCCCTCTACCTCAGTTCTTAAATTTTGGGCATCAGTTAGGATCATGAAGGAAAATCATCGAAGAAGGTAAGATTTGATTTTAGCTATGAATCAAAGAAAATATTCAGGTATGAGTTGAGTAGTTTCTGTACTTTGATTTTGATTTTGAAATTTATTTGTATATGCACTCTCTTTCTTGGATTTCCTATGAATCTTCTTAGATGAAGTATAACTTAGTACAAAACTTGATGAGTGTATTGTAGGCGTCTAAAATTGCCTATGAGAGCCCGCACGAAACTCGAAACAATGAATTGGCGAGACAAGAAGACTCACCTAAGCAGCTCGTGCGCGCCGGTCAACGCGCGTACATCAAATCAGCTCGTGCGCGCCGGTCAACGCGTGTACGTCAAATCAGCTCGTGCACGCCGGTCAACGCGTGTACGTCAAATCAGCTCGTGCGCGCCGGTCAACGCGCGTACGTCAAATCAGCTCGTGCATGTCGGTCAACGCGCGTACTTCAAATCAACGCGGGTCTACTTTCCTTTTCTTTTTAAATGTCTATTCATTATATTAACTTAGGATCAAAGTTCAGAATTGTTTAATTATTCATAATTGAGTTATTGTTATTTCTCAGGAGGCTGGCGGCCCCAAGATTCTCATGAAATATGGAAGAGTAGATGTTACTGGACTTGAGCAATGTCCAGAAGAGGGGAAAGTTACTGGTGTGATGCTAAACTACATTAAGTGTTATGTGCATTTGGTTTTTATTTTCTTCATATATTTGCCTCTTGATAGTTGACCCACTGATTTTCCAAGTTTTTCACCATTGACATAGTGATCACCAGGATAAAAAATATATTCCTAAATCAGCTGACTTTTTTTTCCTTCTTCTGAATGGTGCATTTTGTTGACATATGCTTTTCCCATAAGTGCATTGTTGTTAGTTGTTTTTTTAATGTAGTTTCATAAACTTTACTTCATTATTTACTTGAGGAAACAGTTGTCACAACCTACACTTGAAAAAATGATCATTTTTCTCCTGAAATAATTAAAGAAATAAATCAATATTACTGGTACTTTTTTAGCCATGTTTCTTAAAATTAATATGATAATATGGGAAAATCAATAAAAAACAGTCACTTAAATTACATATTTTCACATGTATTTAATTGAACTATTTTTTTTTATTTTTTTGTCTAATAAACTTCAATATTGCATATGCTTTATTGTTTAAGCTATGGAATACAGTTGATGTGCTTTAAAATTTGTCACCATGCATCTGATATTGTACCAAAAAATCAGCAACTGCATACCTGTAATCTTAACTGCAAATTGAATTTCATTTTCACTTATATCTTTAACACCTTTTCACTAGAAACTTCGCTTTAGGATTCGTACACCCACTATTATAATGGATAATTGATACAATAAAATGCTTATGCTTAATGGACGAGTTTAGGATTCGTACACCCACTATTATAATGGATAATTGATACAATAAAATGCTTATGCTTAATGGACGAGCATGAATCTAATTAAAATTGAGGAAGTATGGATAATTGATACAATAAAATGCTTATGCTTAATGGACGAGCATGAATCTAATTAAAATTGAGGAAGTATATCTTCGCATAAATTTCGTCTTCCAAATCTCATCCCGTTATAATGTAAACACATGAAAGAAGTGATATTGTATATGCAATTTATGCTGGTCCAGGTGCTTGGATAATGCTTTTTCTTGTTTAACACTCTGACTTTGTGCTTCTCTGTCTTATATAGCTCAGGCTTCATTTCAAATTAATAATTCACTTTTTCACTTTCCAATTAGATGCTGGACCACCTTCACATGCTGAACATTTACAAAATGTATTCTACAGAACAGGACTTAATGACCAGGTTCACACTTGCATCAAAATTGATGCTAATGTTATATGAATCTCTTTAACATTTTGTAGCTTATAGATTGTTTGACATGCATGAAATGTATTTTGTTGCTTCAGGAAATAGTTGCACTATCCGGTGCACCTACACTTGGAAGGTCTAGACCAGAACGCAGCGGTTGGGGAAAACCAGAAACAAAATATACGGTATTTATACAAAAATGAGTATTGACACTACATATCATTTACGTATTCCTTTTGCAAGTAATAATAGTGAAGGATTGCTCGAGTTGTTTCATTTTGTAAGTAATAATAGTGAAGGATTGCAGTGGTTGGGGGAAAAAACTCCTGAGCAGGTATGTGCCACATTTATTGCTAAACTTTTTTCATCCAAGCTAATATAATTAATTTATCATAATAACGCGTCTTCCTTAGTAATGATCATTTGCATATCATTTTAAATCTATCATATTTAACTGACTGAGATTTTATTTTTCCAATTAGGTTGTCCGCATATGGGAATATTTTTTGCTTATTGAGACAAAATTAATTTCATGCATGTTATGTTGTGCCGTGATGCAAATGTGCTGCTATGCAAACATGCTTGTGTTTGTACAGACTTGTCAGTTAGTTTTCATTCCAAGTTATTATCTTACCGTAGTTGTTTGCCCAGATTAGCCTTGCAAAATCTCTGTTGAGCAACAATTCCTTATTTCTGGATTATCATTGAAATCCTTTTACAATGTTTTTCTTATGGGTAAAGTGCATGTGATTTATGTGAGATTGCTAGGAATTCAGTTTACCAAACTGGCTTTTCACATGCTATTAAGGTATGTGAAGCTCAAATTGCTTCATGGCTTAACTACTATGTGCTATTGATATTGATATAAATTTTCTTGAAGTGATAGTACTTAACACCAAATTGTTAGAGAAAATTACCATTACGACTTTATGAATGCTAGCTCTGGCAATCTTTCTATCCAGTTCACTGGTGATAATTACAAATTCTTTATTAATATGCATATCCTCCCAATAGTACTATCACTTTGGAACTATGTTCAGAGTGGTTTTCTTAGACATAATAATATTGATCATATATCAACTGTTTAAATAATTCGAATCTTCTTTTGTAATGAATGGTTCCTAAAATTATTGAACAGCCAACATCCAATACTCTTGAGAGAAAACGTTAATAGATAATGCTACTACTGTGAATTCTAGAATGTTATCTTGATTCACAATTCAGTAAACATACATGCCATTCAGTTTCCCCTTAATCCTTTTCCATACACACTTCAGATTTGGTTCAAGTAATTTCAGATTAGGTTGACCCATCACATTAGGTTGACTCATTAATGGCTCCGGTATTTAGATTAGATTCCATGAAACCTGCTGTGGTGGGTTGAGATTGTTAGTATATCCTCTCTGTAATTTGTTGACAGGGAAAACTACTTTGCTTTGTTATGTTTATTTCTTTGCACGAGTTCAAAGCTTAACATACATCCATTTACATCAGCAGGATGATTCCTTGGTTTCACACTTTGAGTACCATAAGCAACCTATTACATCAATAGAATGGAGCACGCACGAAGCATCCACTTTGGTTGTCTCATCTGTAGGTAATCTATTGACGAAAGTTATTTTCTTTACCATCAACTACATAGAAGGCAAAAAAGCAAAAATGTCATGGAACTTACTTTTTTTTAGTAGTCCTATATAAATCGTGTTTGTTTTATATTTCCAGAATATGGGGCCTCTCATTGGAAAGAGATGAGGATGAAAAGGCTGAATTTAAAGCAAAGATAAAAGAACTACCTCAGCTCCTTTTCGTTCATCAGGTTTGTTCCTATTCCAGTTGTCCGGATAAATTACAAAAGTTCTACTATAATTTGTAGAGATAACAAAATATCTCCCTAAGGTTTAGAAGTGACATTTAACACCTGGTCTTCAACTTTTAGTCAAACAATCATCAATTTTTGATAAAATAATCAACTTTTGTTGCGATAATCATATAATCATTTATATAATCATATGGATGTATTTGTCATGTTCTATTAGTATATACTTTTTTATATCCTAATAATTAACATGGTCAAATTGAAACAAAGGGGTCAAATTAAGAGAGATTAGCTAACTACAATCTTGTTTGGCTTGTTCGAAACTCTTAGCTTGGGACTCAGCTGCATCATCAGAGATGAGAGCTTCTAAGAGCAGACTCTTCACCTCCTAAGCACCATAAGGAAATCTTGGCCTCGTGTAGGCATTGAGAAGTGCAAGAATCGATTGCTTCAATAGCTTGGAGAAAGCACTCCAACAAATATCATCATTCCTGTGTTTCTTCCCACATCGTGAGTCTTGACTCAAATCTTTCTAACACCCTTGACCCAAAAACTTTAGCAACCGATGATTCTTGATGCATGATATTAGGCCATGCATGCCTCTATTCCACTGCGACAGTGCCTGTCCCACATCAGATACAGAAGAATTTGCATGATACAGAAGAATTTGCATGATGCAAATATAGCGTGTTATTCCCACACACTTTAATTATAAAAATCATGCATGCTACTATATAATCCCTCCGCGATTATATCTCATGAAACAAACAAAACATAATATCTCAATCATCAAGACACTGTAAAAGAGCCTCAGGTTACATATACAACTGGACAAAGAAGCTATGAAGTGAGTCATCCAACTTTTCCTCTCATCTCCTGCGGACCACAAAATTACCGCCTTGACTTAATCAATCTCTTCTGCTTCACTGAACATTACTATGGTCATCAACTAAACTTGATAAACACTAATGACTTTATGTGTAGGTCTGTTCAATTTACAGGCCTTGCCACACTTAGTGTTTTATATACAATCGTGAGCTAGACTCGCTCATGTACTGTGAGCTGCCTTTCTTGGTCAATATCTTTAATTGCATTTTTCTCGACTTAGCTTGTCGGGTCATAGGTATATTATTTCTCCTTTTGGAGATATCATGGTCCCCCTCTTCACAGTTTCTTTTCTTAAAATTCATGAGCTTACTTGCGTAATAGATGTCTGTGGAAATACATTTTGCCAAATAAATCTAACATTGCAAGAGACCCAAAAGAATATGAGCAACCCCACATATGTTCTTGCCAAACCTACATTTACATCAAAAAGTTCTCTATATAACTGTTAGATTTATCTTATTCCTTGTATATGTATGTGATTAAGGAGAAACTAATATAAATTTGTTATTTTGTGTGTGTGTATGAGGCCAAAAATATTTGAAGGGAATACACTCGCACCAGCAGATCCCAGGGATGTGGGTATCCACGGCTGCCGATGACTTCAATGTTCTCATGCCTGCAAATATAGAGACTATTATTCCAAGTGCTACATTGTGAACTATCCAATTTTATTACCTTGGCTTATGGAAATGCATTCAAATGCAGAGGTGTAGAAGCAAAAACAAACATTCATGTTATATCTATTGAGTCATGTACTTCAGAATGACATGAACGTGAATTTTGGGTTGTTAAATGTAAGTTGGGGGGAGTACTTGCTTGAGTTGCCTATTGAATCTTTATTTTACGGTTTGACCGTAAAATTCCTATTCTTTTTCTTTTTAAATTTTTTGGGAAATTTTATTTACAGTTTCAGGTGTTGTTTGTTGGTATCTATTTGTAGTTCACTGAAAAAGATATTTTAGCTTACAACTTGAGTAAACTTTACAGTTTTGTTCTTGGAGCTGCTGAATGGTATTGATAAGAGTATTAGATGTGTTTATCTAATGTTTGAATGTGTTGATTTCATTTTCTTTTTGTGTTTGCATATGTTTTGAGTATCCAAGAGTATTTCGAGATTTGCAGCCAAGGGTGTTCACCTATTCGTATTTGGATGTGTTGGCATTCTTTGATTCGATCTGATGATTGTTCTCCCATTTACATTTCAAATCCCCTATCCTTAGAAAGTTACTCATCGACCTTAATAATAATGTTTGATCAGACAAAGTTTAATGAGTGTTTTGGAATTTATATGAGATTGTGAAATTTTCTTGCGTGAATATATGTACTCACATATTACGTATTGTAAAGGCTTAGTCAAGTTTCGAATGCCATGAGTTTGGACTTACATCCACATCGTCAAACATTACTATTATGTATATTTTTGTGACGATATTTGATTGATCAATCACGTTATAGATGCAATGAGTGTACTATCGCCCAATCAATTAATAAATATAATTTCATTGTTCAAATGTTGAATGTTTAGACTATGCTTATATATTTGATCCATTACTTACATTCCATAATTTAATAACAAATCTTTATAAATAAAATTTAAAATTTTAAATAAATAATAAAAATTTTACCACGTGCATTGCACGTGCAATCCAACTAGTGGCAATAAATGTGCAACTAACAAAATGTACTATCGTGCTAGTTTTTTACGACTTGTGGTATTAAAGTGTTATTCTTTTACAACTTAGGCATCAAAGTGCTACTTTTTATAACTTAAGCGCATGTAAGTGTAAAAATGGTAAAACAATAAGGTATTTAAGTGCCATTTATCCAATTCAATTTGATGAAGTGTTCACTAATTCAGAACTAGCCCATTTATTGGCCAAAATTTTGCTTAACAAAACCAGTTTGAGTGTTAGTTTAATTATTTATCAAATTACGATTATTCCCGACTGCTTTTTTTAGCAGAAAAACAAGGAAAAATCTTCGTTCATTTTATTCATATATAAAGAGATGGACATGAGGTGGTGTCCTAGAAAATTATAGGTAGAAACATAGCCTTTCTCCCAAAATTGTTACGGAGACTTTCTCCATAGATACATCAATCAGGGTGACGAAAGGAATCTAGCCGCCATTCACCACAACACTGATATAGATATGGACCAAAGGCAGGTACATGACCAAAAAGAGGGGGAGAAATGAAAGTTTTTACCCTGAAAATCCTCAAAACAAACTATATATGTGTTTATCTGCACCAAGCAATTTCAAAAAAAGAGAAATAATTACAAACTAATTGCCAAACATAAAAGCTTGGTTTTGCCGGTTATATATGAGGTCTCCTTTCTTCTTCTTCAGCTTGCATCTGTCTCATATCATCTTCTTCTTGCACTACCTGAGCTTCCTGCCTTCTCTCTCAGCTGCTCGAGACTAGAATTGATGGAAGATCTTGTTCTTCTAATGCTAGCTTGAGAGTCTTTGCAGCTTTCCCTGACGATGATCTTGTCCATTCATTGGTAAAGTGAATTGAAGAGTTAATAACATTTTTGACACTCTGTGGTACATTGTGAAAGATGTCATGTTGTTCCGTACACGTCATATGCACCAGCATGTAATTAGAAATAGAGATTGCTAAATAATTTTTTGTTTAGCAGAGCTAAGAAACCCTCCTTTGGAGTGTATGAGATCATGTAAGTTATTTGGATGGCCAAAGTGAGACTGGAAGAAGTTCCAAATATTTACAGTGAAATTATAGGTAACAAAAAGGTGATTAGAATCTTCCAACTCATTGAGGCAAAGAGAACATGTTTGATCAGCCCTGCCACCCTTTCTTACTGAAGTAAACCTTGATATTGTGTTTATTGATAGATAGAAGCCAGAAAAATTTTTGACCTTGAGAGAGAAGATGGATTTCCAGATTTGCATTGATAGGTCAGAGGACACATCTCTACTAATAGTAAGCTTGTAGAGGGAATTTACAGAGAATTCACCTGTGTTGGATAGATTCCATGTGAGAATGTCAATGATCTTAGGATTGTTGTCAACTTTATATGAGGAAAGAAAGAGAATAATGTTCTGTTTATCAACTTTTTGGTGCTCGTGGATTGGTATTCTAAGAGCAGAGTTTCATACACAGGAGCCATTATGAAAGGAACCCTGACTAAGAACAGTGGCGTTATGTGCCAAAGCCAGAGAGAAAGTATGGGGAAAGAGACTCTCAAGGGTATCATCTCCAGACCATTTGTCTCTTATAAAGAGATGAGCGGGTTGAGCCAGCACGAGAATGTCTCCTATGTTAGACCCTAGAGGGGGGGGGTGATTAGGGTCTTATGCTAATCTAATCCGATTTTATGCCAATTAAAACTAATTAATGAGTTATCCTAGCAAGTATGAAATATAACAAAATATATAAGCTAGGATAAGCAATATAAACAATGAGATATATCCTATATGATGAAATATATATGCAAGAATATATAAACTAACACAAGGGTAAACAATATGAACTAGATAGTGGATGATATAAATAATGAGACAATGACGATATGAGCAATGAGCATAAATAAGAATAAACGCCAAAGCACACTCAAACACAATCAAATGATCACGGAGTTCAGACCTTCTGTCCTACGTCTCCGCTCCCCACTCCCGGGGAGAAATCCATTATCACAATCCGATTTGGAAACCGAAACTTCTACACACTCGGTTTACAAGTTTACCGAAAACTCTCACACAACAAACACTAGGCAATCACACTCTACACCCTCTCAAGTGTTGGACCTAGATGTGTCTCCCTCAAGTGCTCGGATACCACCTCTCTCTAGGTTGGTTAACCGACGCCACTTCTCTTGGGACGATCCCCGACTCTCGCCACACACTTCTCTCGGTGTACAAGTGTATTACAAAGTGATTCTCACAATAAGCACAATTACAATAAATGATTTACTCTCTAATATGGATGAGAACACAATGAAAACTCACACTCAATTGTTACAACTCTCACCAACCCAAATATACTATGTATGAAAATACAATAAGCTCAAGTAGGTGTGTGTAAACAATGAGTGAAATCAAATCAACTAAACTCAATATCAAACTAGCTTTAGTAAAAGATAATCAAATAACTAATCAAATGTAAAGCTAGATAAGAGTTTAGAAATCTTCTCAATAGATCAAGAGGTGGAGGGAGAATAGTTGGAAGCTCAAACTTCAATAGATGATCTCCTCAAGCTCTTGTGGAATTGATTTACAAAACCAAAACATTCAAATGCTTACAAGCTTATAAACACACTTTAAACAAACTTAAACCCTTGATTAAAACTTTGTTAAAAGCCTCTTGAATTCTCTTTGAGAACTGAGATCAATGGGGTATTTATAGCCTCCCAAAACCTCAGCCAAAAACCCCAAACAAAAGAGGTATTTATAGCCTCCCAAAACCTCAGCCAAAAACCCCAAACAAAAGACCAAAAAGCCCCAAACAACGGCTGCAGGAAAATAGCCGTTGGGAATGAAAAGACAGGGGGGGGGGGGGGGGGGAGCCACTTTCAAAACCCACAAAATTTCAGAAACTTTGGCGGTCGACCGTCGCGGTCGACCGTGAGAAAAAACTCAAAAACTGCACTCTGGACTGCGTACGGTCGACCGCACTGTAGCAAACATGCACATGCAGTTTCCAGTTTTTGACAGCTCTAGAATTTTGCATATCTAACTTTGTAAAATCAATTAAAAATAGTAAATAAACTTCAAAAATAATGAAATTTTGAGGGAAGGTTCTACACATGTAGATGAACATGTTAGAAAAAAAATTTCTGAAAAATCACTTTACAGTTGAGAGAAATAAATGTTTGAACATAGATAAATAGTTTCTAAAAAACTGCTGAAAACTCGATTTTGTAAATTCAATTGAAAATAACAAAACAACTCCAAAATTAGTAAAACTTGGCAAAATGTTTGTATATATGAATATAAGCATGTAAACAAAGAAATTTTTCAAATTGTATTTCTCAATTGTGAAAACTCATCTGTTTTGTAAAAACATGCACGAACATGAACTTTAAACATGCACGAACAAAACTTGTTAAAACTTGATTTTGACAAATTCATTCCAAACAAGTTTCAAAACACTTTCCAATAGGTTTATAGACTTGATAAAAGATATATCATCATGTTAATAAGTCTATAATTCAAAACAATGATAAATTAAAATAAACGTGTGTGTGTGTATGAAATTGAGCTTGAAGTATTGAACACACATAATATAACACATAAACTAATTTACCAAAGCTAGATCTTGATCTTCAATAAGCTCGACTTGGTACACTTGCGGATGAAGCTTGAACTTGATCTTTAACTTTGAATTGTGTAGGCTTCACTCCATAATTCCGCCAACCTCCATTGGATATGATCGTTGTGATGCAATCCATCCAACCTCCAACTCGTTATTTGCCTAGAATAAATACGAAAATACAAACACTAGACAAACAACATTAGAAGTAAATTATTTGTTAAACATTTGCCTAGAATAAATACGAAAATACAAACACTAGACAAACAACATTAGAAGTAAATTATTTGTTAAACATCATCAAAACAAGAAGGCACACTAGACAAACAACATTAGAAGTAAATTATTTGTTAAACATCATCAAAACAAGAAGGCCAACATCCTAATGGCATGCCGTAGCCATTTAGACAAGAGGGAGTTATTAAGGCATTTCAGATCAACAACACACAATCCTCCCTCTTTTTTGGCCATGTACACCACTTTTCAATTGACCAAACATTTCATAGGTTTGTTATGTAATGGCCATCCCCCCTCCAAAAAAAAGGAAAATTTTCCTAGTTCTATCTACTTCCTTAATGATCCAATCAGGTAACTTGTAGAAAGACATATGTAGTATAGAGGCAAAGATGAGAGCACAACATTTATCAAAGTGAGACAACCACCAATAGAGAGGTTTTTCCGTTCCACTAAGGTAATTTTGTTTTAATCTTCTCTATTAAGGGTTTCCAATCATATC